CAGTTTTTGCTTTTTTTGTGGTAATTTAGTGCAATTAGGAAGAAGGTAGATTGAAGTAACTTTCAATGTGACATGGTTGTTGGTAACAGATGCGTTGGGAGTATTTCAGTAAATGATGGTCTACTGGGAATTTCAATGGACCACCGTCTCTCGTAGCTAAAGAAATCAATCTCAAAAGATAATAGTAATGGAACCGCGTCTAAAACAACACTTGTTACTACCAAGACATGTGGCGTAGCATCAGAAGTAAATGAGCTGCAGCTGCCAAAGACCACACTGGGGGCCTCTTCTGTCAAAATGCTCCACCTTGCATCCTTCAGGTGAACCAATCTATCAGAAATAGATAGGTAGTAGGTAAATGTGTTTTTATTATTTTCCAACCCTATTGAATCAGGCTGTTCTGACCCATACTAGATTGTATAAATTAAAGAAGCATATAACTTTGTGCACATCTCAAGATATGAAGGGCATTTTAAATAAAATCTATTGTTACTATTGTTGAAAAATACAAAAGTGTGAACATCCTCTTATTAACTCATGGTTCTTCAATAGTAGTAAAACAGTCTTAGTGCCGGGTTCTTAACATTATGAAAGCTATCTATCAGTTGACTTAGTACAAAATCATTGGAACAACATCCCTGGGACTCATACAAGTCACTAAAACATAAACTGGTTCAGCTCCAGGAGCCAGTTATGAATAGGAGGACATGAGACCTACAGGCTGCTCAGTCTGATTAACTCACAGAAGGAAGAGGGATGAGACATTCTGACAATCCGGCCAAATTGTCAAAGATAATCCAGCTAAGAGATTGTCTATGAATAGTGAGATGGGTTAAGTACCATACAGGTGCACAGTAGGTTTGGCGTTAACCTCTCAAAGATGCAAGTGAGTTGGTGGGTGGCTTGGTATGTAAAAGAGAAAAAGTGAGGGGAGTGGAGGGAAGCGGTGCAGCATCTCACACAACAGCAGCTATGTACAGAAAACCGAAGTTAATAATTACACTGCCCTCTCAAACCGGACTCTTATCAGATTCCCTAACATAGGGTCAGAGTTTGGTTAAAAAAAAAACAAAACAAAACAAAAAAAAACATGAAAAGCATAAAGCCATCCACGAATTTGGTTTTAATCTCCAATCTGATTATTGTTGGTGACCATGTCCATCACTTCATCAACACCCGTATTCTCTTGGATTCTTCCATCAGGAGATAGCTGGATGTCGCAAGGTTGAAATCACATCAAACTAGTATGTTGAACCTGATAGTTGTCCTCCATCGGGCCTCCCCAGTCACCACGTCTCATTCCATTAGAGCACTTTGTGATGAGGCGGAACAGGAGATTCCCATTATGGATACACAGCTAACAAATATCATGTAAATGTGGAACATTTCTGAGCCGCTGGAGAAAGTGTGCCATAAAGAATTAAGATATTTCTGGAGGCACAAGAGCTTCCAAACCGGTGTTGGCTATTTGAACCTTACAAAGTGCCCGGTGAGTGTATGTGAAGGAAAACAAAGCAAAAGATGTCCCATATTGGATAGGCACACATTGTTATTTTCCAGAAGCTTACTGAGAGTCTACTTCCTGTGTTGTTCCCTCGTCTTTGTAATTCTGCTTCTGTCTCAATGCCAGCAACATTTCATCTGCTATGCTGTTTGAAAGTCACAGTCGCATGCAGCCACTATGCAGATATCATCCACTATGCAGACTTCCATCCAACGACAGCTCTTCTGTTGTCTCCTGTCGCTCTGGCTGACTGTCTCCCTTCTTCATTTCTTTAAAAGGAATGTTGAGGCTTGACCAATGAAATATTTCAACCCGTTATCATCCGCTCTTCATCAGCTAGTGCACTGTTGTATGGAAGAGGCTGGTCGTTCATTGTATTTTTCCTCTGATAGCTGGGAGGGGAGATATAGAGTTTATCTCAGGAGCTGTTTACTGGGACTGGCGCAGATGAAAAAGAACAGAGCCGTCGTATATATGTCACTGGACTCCAAGTACGCTCACATAAACTGTCACGGATCGTTTTTTATCCACATTAAACTAAACATTCGCTTTTTTGTTGGGTTGTTTTTTTTTTTATAGGAAGATTGGCAAAGCTGAAAGCACCTTGCAAAAAGAATTTGGACCAATTATTCACATTTTGTAACGTAACCATCACAAGCTGCAATGCATCCACTGGGGTTTTATGGAATAGGCCAATACAGAGTAGTGGATAATTGAAAATAAAAGGACAAGAAATTATGCATTTCAATTTATTTATTTATTTTTTTTTTGCAAATAAAAATCCAAGAAGTCTGGTGTACTTTCACAGATCAGCTATCAAGAGCAAGCTTAAATAATTACAGGATTTTAAAAATATAATAAATGCCCAACGTTCTGAGAACAATGTGACACTTTACACTGGTCTATCATTATGTGTTGATTTATCACACCTAGTAAATATTGAATTAAAAGGTTATGACATCGCAAAAAGTGATTATTTCAATTGTCCCAAACCTTCATTCAGATTCGTTTAGCATGGATGATTGATTTTAGTTAGCCTTGCTATGCTCGCTTGTGAAGCAAAGCTTCTTGATAAATTTGACCGGCAGCCAATCAGAAAGACGATTATGTCAACTCATATTCAATAAGCTATTTTTAACTTATGCTTTATAATTATTGAAAACCTTTGAAAAGCGCTGTCGGCCCATTGTACCGCTGTACCGGCTGACAAAGTGCAGGGAACCGATACAGGAAGTGGGGGAGCCCCTACTGTGTCAAACAGAGATAGGAGTAACAGAAAGCTGGCCACTCTGAGGTTAAAAAATAAATAAATAAATAAATAAATAAAAGAAAAAGAAAATAACCTTCCCGCCCAGGTGGGAACGACTGACTCTGTCCAAAATGTCCGCCCACGCCGGCTGGGCTTGCTAAGCCCCGTACATGCAACGAGCGATGACGAAAGGTGGAAAAACATTCACGCTCAGGCAGCAGCTTCCGGCCGGCCTCCTTCACAGGCACAGCAGGTGCGCTCTGATAGGCCGAGCCGCTGGCCGTTGGGTTTGCGACCGACCGCATTGCCGCTCGTGTGCTCAGCTGCCCGCGAGGCCGCGCCGCGTGCGGTCCAGGTGGGATTAGCAGGAGGATTTCCACCGTGCTTCAGGTGACAGCGACACACTGCTGTGTGTGTGTTTGTGTTTGTGTTTACGTGGGGGTGCAGACTCAACAATAGGATTAGGTGGATTACAGCAATACAGCCATATTACACATGACGATAGCATAAAGGATCCGGGAGGAAAAAAATAAATAAAAAACAAGGCTTGACGCAGCCTTGTAGTCCTTATTTCACGAGGCAAACGGAGGAAGAACGCAATCTTCCCTCTGCAGCCAGAGCCGGAGGGCATCACAGAGGAGGGGCCGTGGGGAATGTTTATCCATAGTCCATACGTTCCTACATGAGAGCTGAACGCTGGGAGATTTACAAAAGCCTCAAACATAAGCTCTGAATAACAAGAAAAAAGAAAAAAAATAAAGCAAAAGCTTCGTGGTCTGAAACACCAAAACGATATTAAGGCTTTCAACACAATTTGAAGAAAACAGTTTTCATCTTGGGATGATTACAAAACTGCAGGGTACTCCTCTCATTATCAGACTGATGTTTCCCTTGTATCAGTTTCACACCAAGAAAGGCGTGTGTGTGTGTGTGTGTGTGTGTGTGTGTGTGTGTGTGTGTGTGTGTGTGTGTGTGTGTGTGTGTGTGTGTGGGTGGGTGGGGTGGGCGGGGGGGGGGGGATGGCACCTCATTTGTTTCAAGTCTTCAACAGGAAAGACCAAACAGGAAAGACGGAGATGAAGGAAACGTTAAATTAAAAACGTCCCTGCAGGGATGTAAACAAAGCACCACATCCATGCACAGTGTAGTCTGAGGGAATACTCACCGTCTCAGGTGGGAGTCGTGGGGCTTCGGGCAGGTTCAGGTTTTCTGGTTTCAAAAAAAGCCGTGCGGCATTATTTTGAGGAATTTGTGTCTTTTAACCCCAGTTTCTTCTCCACCTCTCACCTTTTAGTGCATCACAAAGTGGCAGTCTGGCTGATGGCCGCCATTTTGACTGGATATGTCGACTCTCGAGCTCGTCGGTTTGAAACAGTTCGATGCAAACAGTTTGCTGTTTGCAAAATGTTTGCAAAATTTACTTTTGAGAAACTCAGTCCCACGTTGAATCTACGTTGAGTACGCTCGCACCTCCATGGTGTGAAGTATACCCGTGAATGTGGGAATCTTCAATGTTCATAGAGTTTATTTTTGCATACTTTGGTTGTAACAAGTGTTTTGAACTACTCTGTTTTATGATCTTGAGCCAATTTGTCAATTCGCCTCTGATCTCCACTCAAGTGGTGCACCCTTATTATTTTTCTCTCTTTTGGACAAGTGGTTGTAGAACCACAGAATGTCAGCAGTTTTATGAAAACGCAGAGTTAATTCACTCTTTGTGGTATCAAGCAATTAAACCGATGAACCTTAGAAAGTGTCCTAGTACACAGAACACTTAGCAGATTTTTATTACATGTTGGATGTAATTCAGCAATATGAGGCAGGTGTGTTGGAGGCAATGGTTTGTTTAAAACTCGCAGGACATTGGTCAGATATCTGCAGAAAATTTCCAAACCCAACATTGAGTCTTCCCGTTACATGCTGGAAGTCTTGCTCTCTCTTGCTCCCTCGCAGCCTGAACGAATCACTGCCTTCACTTTTTAAGTAATGCATCCGAAATTGTGTCTTTTTTCTTCTTTTTAACAATTTCTTTTTCACACATGTTGAATCTCTTTTTGTACTTAGTAACAACGTTCACACCAAAGAGTGTCATTTTTAGCTCAAATCCTAAAGGGATCTAATTTTTCACTTTCTGACCAGCCCGATTCCCCTCATGACCGATCAGCCGCTTCAAGATGTTTTTTTATTTTTTTATGTTGCTGCTGCATCTCAAGATTCACGATGCACTTTCTCTTTCTCTCTTTTCAGATCGGCTTTGAAGAAATGCTGTCACGGGTGTGGGAGTCCCAACCCAGGGTTATCAAGTTCTCTCGAAGACATCAGAGAGGTTCCTCTGCGAACAGCTTGAGGCGGCAGAAGAGAGATTGGGTCATCCCACCTATCAACGTTCCTGAAAACTCCCGAGGACCTTTCCCACACATGCTTGTCAGGGTGAGTGACAGTGTGATTTTAGCAAACAGAACTTTGTCTTCGGAAAACTTCTGCGTGCCGTCGGATCACTGAGAAAACCCGATTCGAACATGTACTCTGAAACGTCTTTGATTTTAAAGGATTTATTTAGGTCTATGAGAAGAATATCGTATTCTTCCCGTAGATATGGAAGATGTCTTTGTATCATATCTTCATTCACCTCGAGGCCAAGAGACACACTTTTACTGGTATTTTCTACTTGTGAAGCATGGGAGGTACAGGGAAAACACTGCACTTTACTCAGATTTACATCATAATACCAAATGATTTGTATTCTGGGCCTTGGGGCATCAACAGACAAGGAGACGGGAGGGGGGGAAAAAATCTATGCTTGGAAGGCAGACAAATACCCACTTGATGCTTGGTCTCAGAGCTGCAGACCTGAGGATTACTGAAGAGTGGGAATTCTGTGCTTGTTAAAACAGCTGGCAAACCGTTTCTTTTTAATTTTTTATTATGAACTAAGTGTCTATTTTCCCGTGTAATAGCAGAAGAAGGAAGCTTTCATTAAAGTGCAACATCCTGCGGAGGTTCCCTGATGTTCCCATTAAACTCTTTCTGCCATTGTGTACAAGATCTCAAGACAATTTCACAGCTTGATTTGGATTTCCACATTTGTTCATTTAAACGTGATTCTTCTGCAGGGCTTCAACATTTCTTTCGCATCAATAGAAATGAAAAACCCTTTTATTACTCTGTTTTTTTTTTTTCAAACAGGCCTTGTATTTTATAATGGATTAAATTTCTTGAATGAATATTAAGACCGCTTCGATTTTCTTTTCTTTTATTATTTACCAAGTTGACGCTTTTAATGCAACTTTTAAAGCGTCTTTGTATTAAAAGTGTCATCATTTACGGAATGACACTTCTTGGCAACAGTTCTAAACGTCCATAAAAACTTCTTCATGTTCATGTCATGTCAGCATTATGGACACTCCCTTTAAATAAAAGTGCTACCGAATATTCTCATTGAATTTGTAATAAGTTTGTAATCTGAATGAGAGTTGTCTTATGAAAATGCACATCATGATCGGACTAATTAGTTTTGCACCCTTATAAAATGATACATTTGTATTCTTCAATCAGAACACATTTTAAACCGATCATAGCTAATATGAATAATATATATTTTTTCTCTATTTACTTCATTGTTCACCAAAAGCTAGACAATTAGGAATGTAAGAAGATTACCTGGTAATTGTAGATTCATTGCGGGTGGTAAAGGATTCATGTATAGTTGTCTTGTAAATATCTTGACCAGTGCTTTGATACACTTCAGACTTGTCCAGGGTGTAGCCCTGTTTCTCATTCCCAACCCGAGAGACCCCGATCGAGATCCAATGGGTCTCGCGTCCATCTTGGACTTACTGAGTCGTCACAGATCGAGGAAACCAGCTGAGTATGTTTGTGCTCACTTACATCGCATAGTATGTCTTCATAAGGACAGATATTTGAACCATTAAAAGCGCTGTTGATGTTTGTATGACTGCACAGTTATTGGTGAAAAGAGAAAACAGAGGGGGCTTAGGTAACATCCCTGGGGTGCACCAGTGTTGAGTTGCAGCGCAGACTAGGGATTTATGGCTGTTAAGTGTTAAAAGTAAAGAGGATTTGATGTTAACACGAAACGTATAAAGTTATACTTGTTGCATTGACGAGATGTTCTCGCTTGTTCCATGGCTGCTCTTATAATCTAGCATCTTATAATTACTATCTCAAAGACAGGTGGTTTGTAAGCAATCAATGTGCAAGGACATATTTTCTTGTAGTCATACCTAACATTTCCCATTTACACCTCCGAGCTTGCTCCTTGGTTTAGAAAAAGGTCATTTTCATTTCACCAAGACCGCTTTTAGGCGAAAGCGTGACCTTGCTTCTGAAAAGAATGCCTTTGAAACTTAAAGAACTCAATTATACACAACCGCAGAACAAAACTTGGGGGAAAAAAAAAAAAGATCAAATTTAAACTCAACAGGCATCAGACAAATGCCGAGTTATATCCAGTGGCTGTAAGGTGTGGAGAATATCTCCAAATTAATTTCTCATGGAGGTGTCACAATTTTTTTAGCTCTTTGCTCTCACTGCTCTAATCGCTGCACACTCTCTGCCTCTTATCAGTCACCCACACAGACAGGCTGTTTCTTGGAGACATTTTTGACTCACACAAAAATAGTAGCACACACACACACACACATAGTCCTTTACGCCCATTTGTACTCCATGGCTTACACTCCGGGATTACGGGAAATCGCCTTTCACCAATGTGACGGCAAGTGAGCAGATTTTCCACCAATGCGTGAACACTCTCGCCCTTGCATGCACAGACACACACGTACTCAGACGCACACACCGTCATGCCACGGAGTGTCACAGGAGGTGCAAAATTGTCGCGCCCTGCTGGAGAAGTGGAGCCTCTTTCATCCCCTTTTTTTTCGTGTCAGGTGTCTGATGGTTGGATTACGCTACAGGTGACTGCCTTTATACGTGCGGGCCGTGTCGGTGTTGAGGTTGGGTTGGCTGGAATGTGGGTCTGTAACTCTATCAAGCCCGCTGTCCTGTAGCGGCACCTCAACCTTTCGGCGGCGCAGCATGGGGGGAGACGAGTCTGTTGCTCTGCAAATTTGTCTGTTCTCAGTTCTCCCTGCCACACAACTCTGCGGTTTGTCGCGGTGTGAAGGCGAGCAGCAGAGGGAGATTCTGAGCTTTTGAACGCCGGGCTCAGAAGATGTGAGGCTCTAAAATCTGAACCTGAAGACACACCGGCTCCCCCGTGTTAGAATATAAATGGGATGTATGTGTAGTTCTCGAGTGGAGCTTCATAAACAGGTGGATGAGATGTTAAAGTATTCATACTTCTTTTACTTTTTCACATTTTGTCCCTCTGCAGGCACCAACTTCGCTGTTATGATTTCTGTTACCGTATTTTCCGCGCTACAGGTCACACTGGATTATGAGGCACATTAAGGGAAACAAAACTGCCGGACAAGTCAGTCAGTCAGTCAAAGTACAGTACGTATTACACTGCGACACTTCCGACTACAGTGGCCGTAATGTAACTAAGAGGTTTTGACAGAGAGCTGTGTACCAAAAAAAAAATCACTTCAAGGTCAGTGAGCACAAGCAGAATTAATCCATAACTAATCTACTAGGGGGGGCTGATTTACTCAAGAATATTATATAAAGTGCACTATTGTTTTTGAAACAAAATGAAGTGTGCCTTATAGTCTGGAAAATACGGTATTAGGACTTGACATGATAGATCATAATGACTGAAGCGACGACATGCTGTCCATCACAAGACAACACAAGACAAACTACATGCACACACACACTCACACACACACCCGCACACACACACACACACACACTCACACACACACACACACACACGCATGAACACCCACACACACACACACACACTTACATGCAGATCTACGGGTATTTTGCATTAACCACTTAACCTCACAGTCATGTTTGTGTCATGCAGAAAGACTCTTAGACTGAAACTAATGTGCAACTTTGTAAAAACACAGAAGGATGACTGAAAGTTTCAGGAGCTTTTCAAAAACTTTGAACTGTAATTATGTATGGAGGCGGGCTGTGTGGTCAAACTGTTAAAAATAGATTCACCAAAGAGAACTTGAGTTGGAAGAAAATCAGTTTCAATTGTTCAATGTGGAATTTATATATATATATATTGTTAAAAATATATATTGCTTTTTTACAATAGATATAACACAAAAGTTAAGTTTTTGGGGTTATAAAAGTGACCTTTTTATTTTTTTCAACAACCAAAATAACTTGTTTTTCTAACAAATGATTCTTTTGAGTTTTAATTTTAAATTTCAGCATTGTGGTATTATGTACTCATCCCCTTTAGAACTGATGCCTAAAAAAACAACAACAACCCAACAAAGCAGCTAACTTCCCTAAGAATCCACCTAATAAACAACGTTTGCCGCCCGTGTTTAATCTCATCTTTGCAGACGTTAAATGATGGATGCAGCGCGTCAAAAGAAAGGCCTGTTGGCCTCTGCTTTGATTCTGTAAGAATGGAGAAAGGTCTCTGACACCCACAATAATAACAGGTTAATGCAGCTGGGCTGAGGTTGGATGTTACTGTGATGCTGAATTACAGCAATAGATCTAGTTCAAAAGCAACGTCCTATAATTTTCTGCTGAGAAATCCTTAGCAATTATCCATATCATTCTCTCCTTGTAACTTACTCTTTTACAGTTAGCGTAACACCACACAAATACACACACACACGCACACACACCCACCCACACACACACACACTCGTGTTCCTTTTCCTCATTGAAACTGAACATCAAATGTTGCGGCGCAGCAGCTGTTTGGAGGAGCTTCGTTTCGCTGCAGGTGAAAGAAGGGAACCTGCGCCGTTGTAACAAAGAACCTCGAGCTGCAGCGTTTTACAGCATTGATTTAACATTGAGCCAAAATGGAAGACGCTTCTGAGCTCTGACTGTCAAATAATTTGACATGACAGATGTAAGTGTGCTGGAAATGGAGAGGTATGTGGAAACGGCTCCGGTTCAGTGGATAAAGGGGAATGGCGGAGGGACGACTTCTGCCTTGAGAAACTGACGAGGGTTGAGGGAGGGTGGAAAAAGGGAATGAAATTTGGATACTCAGGTTGAAAGAAAGTAAAAAAAGAAGAAGAAGAAAAAAAGGAAAATACAAAATAGAACGTCCGTGGAGAGTGCCGTAAATCTGAAGGGGTGAGGGAGGCCGACATTAGTTTCAGGCCATTTGTGGCATTCTCAACTCGACATCCTCTCGCAGCACCTACACCGGGGCCAATGAGGCAAAACTGATGGAAAGCAGTCTGAATGTGAGCGAGGAAAGATCTTCCTTTCATTTAACCAGGCCTCACAAAGTGGGCTACCTCCCTGACCTGCAGTTAGGAAGAGGAAATGAACAAGGGGGGGAGAAAATA